ACTTGAAAACATTACTTATTAATGACATGCTAAGGAAATGTCAGAATCAAGGTTTTTAAGAGCTGTGTACTTAGACAAAATTTAAAATATATATGGGCTTGCTTTTATTTTTATTTGTTTATTTAATTTTGACTTGAGACAGGGTTTCACTATGTAGCCTAGTGTGACCTAGAACTCACTATGTAGTCCAGGCTGGCCTTAAACCACAGAGATCTACTTGCCTCTGTCTCCTGAGTGCTGTTATTAAAGGTGTGAGCTTTAATAAAGTCAAACATACTTGACTTCATATAGGCTTTCTGATGACCTCTGACCTGGATATCAGAATACATAACAGCTAGAGATTATATGTGTTGTGGATGGAGAGGGTAAACCCACATTTACTCCAAAATAAAGTTTGGCTTGGGATGATCTTTACTTTTAATGACTCTATCCAAAGTAGTGAATGCTATGAGCAATCACTTAATACTTGAATCTGAAGATACTAGGGATTTGAATCAAATGCCTTGACAGTCATCTCCCTCTTCTGTAGAGCCTGATGAGAAAAATGGAATAATTAAAAAAAACAAGGATTTTAATATTTAATATTCTCTCTCTCTGTCTATGTCAGCAAAATAAGCTGTCTGCTTTATGATCATAATGCTGACATAAGTAGATAGAGTCACTGGTTTTGTGAATTTGGTCATGTCTTTACAAAAACTTTCTCTTTTCTGTTTGTCTTAGATGGAGATTTTTTACTTTTTTTCCCCTCAAGAAAAGGAAAGTATAACCAAAGAGTAAAGTCATCAGTATATTTCTTTCAAGGGATTATTACACTTCCAAGACATTAGGCTTAAGTCTATATAAAAAGTTATTTAGAGCTGGGCGTGGTGGCACATGCCTTTTATCTCAGCACTTGGGAGGCAGAGGCAGGTGGATCGCTGTGAGTTTGAGGCCAGCTTTGTCTCCATTAGCGAATCTAGGCCATCTGCGGTTACAGGGAGACCTTGTCTCAAAAATGACCAAAAAAAAAAAAAAAAAAAAAAAAAAAAAAAAAAAAATGGGGGCTGGAGAGATGGCTCAGGGGTTAACTGCACAGATTAC